CAGTCGGGTGCGTCGCGGGGAGGGAGCGATCTGCGGAGAAGGCCCGGGAACTCAGCAGGGTGTCTGAACAGGTGCTGGCTACGGGGTTAAATGCTTTAGCTTTTTTGGTTTAGCACTAAAAACGCTTGTGTCGAACTGGTCCTATCTAGGCAGATGAAACCACCTTCAGTATTTTAGCAACTGATCATCCTCGGTTCGCACAGTAGCTGCAAAATACAGGTGTCTGACTTTATCAGCTGCTTACCGTGTGGGTGGAGCGCTGCGTGTTACTGCTTGAGCGTCTATTTCCCTTTAACAAGGCTCAAGCCAGTGCAGTGGCAATATGAGTAATCTCAATACTCTTCAAATTTGATAATTTTCTGTTCAGTGACTTTCTGTTTAGCAAGCTTAATGTTACGTGATGTTCTGCGGAATACTTTTCTAGCAGATCACCCCACTCCCCCACCAACCCAGGATGCTAAGGGCAGAATCGTTTTTCCGTTGCACATTTTAATTGTTATTGGATCTGACTCCCTGGACCAGAGAGCACACATCGTCTGAGAGCAGTCACGTAAAGATGTGAGAAAATTGCTCATGAGAAACTTCGGTACTTCTAGTTCGGTGCCTCCATCTCATGTGGTATTCAGCCCTCTTTGTTTGCTGTAGCTGTCCATTTTTTCATTCTTGTAATTATTCATGCTGTAGTTAAATTAGAAGTTTCAGTAAATAAAGTGTAAAACAGTGTGCTTAGTTCACTTGAAAAACAAACATTCAAGCATATGCCTATTTTAAGTATTTGAATAAAACTGCATGTGAGTAAAGTATACCTGTAATGTTTGCAAGGCTAAAGTACCTAAATTCATGAGTTACTATATATTCATTGGCAAGACAGTTCAACACTATGACCTTGTTCTGCAGTTCTCTGTAAGGGTCCTCTTTTTTGCTGGGGCACTAGGGACTTTTGCTGGGAAGATGTACTTCTGTGAGTTACCTTTAGCTCCCTCCATTCCATCTGTCTTTGTTTCAGCCAGTAAAATAGTTGCTGGTGTTTTATTATTCCAGAATAATCCTTTGACTGCCTCAGAAGAGGAAGAGCAAGTGTGGTGTCCGTGTGCATGAATGCACTGACATCCTAATCCAAATAGAATACTTGATGACCTCCTTTCTGTGGACAGTCCAAATAATTTGAAGTGTGAAATCGCAATAGAAAGCAAGTTAGCTAGTGTCTCTGTGGAAAAGTTTATGGTTGTATTTCGTTAGGCAGGCATTCATGACAATAATTTCTGACCATATCAGCTCATAGATGCTTGTATCTGTATTAGTGGACTTCTGGTCCCTTGGAAGTCGATACTAGGTTATCCCAGTTCAGTGGTGGAGAACTAAGATGCAAAGACATTTCTTAAGGCCACCTATGATGTATGGGACTGATCTGAAAACTGAATCTAAATTTCCTTAATCTCCATACGTTCTTTAACCCCTCTTTTTATGAGAATGCTGTTCAGTTTGTTTTGCTTTGTGCTTCGTAGAACTAAAGGAAATACGTGTCATTAGCACTATAATCAAATGTATTGTGAAAAAATTCCATTACAAAGCAGTGCAGGGATTCTTGCTACGTGGGATGAGGTGGTGTCACATGCTGGTCGTATCTGGGCTGAGGAGAGCATCATCTGTTCCAAAAACTCGTGATTTCAAGTCTTGGTTTTGAAGAAATGCTATATCCTGGGGAACAAGCACTTTGTTCAGTTTCTTAGTTACAACATTTCAGCATGGCCTGGAGTAAGTGCAGCTGCCTGCTATCAGGTAGAGTTGCTTTTAAGATAAGTTGCTTTTTTTCCCACCTGCCCTAAGCTGGAGGGAAAGCCTTGTATCTCTCTCCCAAACTGTATGCTTCAGAGAAGTTACTGCCTGCTTTGGGTAACAATATCTATATGTGACTTTCATAGAAAAAGTGAATATGGGTTAGATCCTTACTCCCACTAAATCCTGAAGTATGAAAGTACTTTACGGATTTGCTCAGTGAACTGATGTTGAGGTGAGGAGGGTTGGGCACTGAGTGATCTTGATCAAGGGAGAGCAAGAGCAGATAGTTATGTGCAAGTCATTGCAAAAAGGGTTGGTGACATCTGTAAATAGGGTTGGTGGCGTGATTGACCCTGTTTAGTCCCATAATCTAGGATTATTTAGATGCGTAATGTTAGGCACATGCCTTGATGAAGGGTGTCTTTATTTGTTTTTATGATTTGGCATGATTTTGGTACAACCCATTTTAAAGAGTGTTGGAAGTGTATGGCAAAGTGGGAAGCCAAACAACCACAGCATGGTATACAGAACTGCAATTAAAACTGCAGCAAAATAAGCTCTCCTACCCCCCACCCCCCCGCACCCAGACCCGCTTTCTTTTTATTCTTTGGCAGAGAGCAGCAGAGAGGACTGTTACTGTCAGTAGGCTTTAGCAATCTGAAAATATCCTTTCTACTGAGAGTACTTTGTGAACATTTAGTTGCGTCTGGCCATGTTCTACCTTGATTCTGTCTCATTTAAAGCTAGGCTCTTTAAGATGCGCTTTGTAATCTGGAGTTGATATTGTTTGTTCTTTAACCACATATAGGAAGAGCTGTGGCCGTTGCTTCTATCCAGCTACCATCTGTTAGCTTCTTTCTGTCTGTGACAGATTTTTCATGTGCTTTGCAAATAGTGTATCTAATGCTGCCAAACTTTTTTCTTAAGTGATAATTCAGTGCCTGTCAATAGCTATGATGAAAACGGAGGGCCACATGAAGAAAAAGTAATAAATAAATAAATAAATGTGTGATATGTGTGCCTGTGAATTAGCCTTCTTCATTCATGATTTTGTTTCATAATTAAGTGAAACCTAAGCTCTCTGGCAGGAAATGGAGAATTCACGTGAACACCCATGAATTCACAATTGTTTGTGTTGGACTTGAAGTCACCTAACCCATTTTTCTGTATGCTCTTCCATTCTCAGCAGGTGCTTGATTTCACTATTTCATCTGATCCCACTCTTTTTTATCTCCTTTTTGCACGGAGGAAAAGCCAGCAGGATTTCTGAGTTGTTTTGTTGCCTTTTTGCACTGTATGACTCATAAAGTTAAAAAAGCAGCCTGAAATTTGGGAGATTACTATTTAGGTAAGCAGAGAAAAATAACCGCCTCACAGTAAAAGTAGTCATCAGCAAAACATGAGAAGGCCCTGGGGTGACACTAGCACTGTGACCAGGCTGTGAGGTGGACGTTCTGGAAAATGCTTTTTGTCTCTAGGTCACTGAGCAAATGGAAAGGTCCAGTTTGTTGTAGTGCTGTGAAATCAGCATGTTTTAGCGATACAAGAGAAGGATTTCACAAAAGCAAAAGTTAAACCCTAGTCCCTTTGAAGTCAGTCTTGATCTTGTTGGTATCAAACAGAGCAGATAGGACCTTATTTTGGGGGCTTGTAGGTACTGAAAAATACTATGCAGTGCTGTTATTACATATATTCAATTTATATATACAGTAGTGTATATATATTCAATTTACTAAAATAAAGTACCACAATGAAATCCTGTTTGTAAAATACTTGGATTAATTTTGATTTTGCAAGTAGTTTTTGAAGTGCCTTTTTTTGACGCTCGCCTCAAATGCTCCAAAGCTTAGTCTCCTGTTGCTTTCCTTTTCTAGAGGGTCAAAGATTTTGTTCCTCTCATTGATATTTTTGTATTTGGAAAACATCCATTACTGCAGAATTTAGAGCTAGTTGAGAGGTTTGAGAATGTTCTTCAGTTGTGCTGGAAACAGCCATGTGTTACTAGCTTTCATTCAGTTTTCCTGCTTTGCATCAGTAGCCTGATAAAGTTGCGACACTTTGCGCCTCTGATGTAACTTTTATCTCAGGCAGTTCAGTTCCTTAGGCTTCCTTGACACAAGTCTGCATGGCACAGATATTGAAAGTTGGCTCATTTGTCTTCTTTTGTAATGAAGTTCTTCCTTAAGGAACTTTCCAAACGCTGGATAATATAAACCACTGTGATATACAGAGTTCTTCGAAACTTTACTGGTTGAAATCTGTCCTTCAACAGAATATGCCCACCGCCTGTGCGCGTGTCTACGAGGTGTCTGAAACAAACATAGGAGACAAGCTTGTAAGAGTTTCTGAAATACAAGCAAAGCTTATCTTTAGCCTTGTGTCACAGAACAGGTATAGAAGGGTTTCCTAATTCATGCTGTTTTCTTTTTTGTGGTGTTTGAATTGGATTATCTGTAATTTATGCTTGCTTTTACCATGGGACCCTTGCAACAGCAGAGGTGGAAGGTACCTTCAGGTGCTGTGGTGAGGAGACAGG